TCCAAAACCATGTTTACCTTCAAATTATGTGTAGATAATAGTACAGAATTAGAACAACGTGTGTTGAAAATAGAACTCTTTCAGTATTGGGTTTAGCTGAAACTAAACCCAGACAAAGCAGAGGTACTCCTGGTCAGTCGTAAGGCAGAATAGGTTATAGGGCTACAGCCTGTGTTGAACAGAGCTACACTCCCCCATGAAGACTCAGGTTCACAGCTTGGGGCTGACCCTGGAGCCTCAGGTGTAGGTGGTGGCCAAGAGCGCCTTCACACAGTTAAAACCTGTGCACCAGCTGCGCCTGTACCTTGAGATGCCAGATCTGGCCATGGTACTCCACACCTTAGTCACATCCCGTTTGGACTATTACAATGCTCTCTACGTGAGGCTGCCTTTAAAGATAGTTCGGAAGCTTGAATTGGTCCAGAGATCAGCCAGCTTACTAACTGGGGCGCCATACAAAGACAGAACCATTTCATAGAATCAAAGAGTTGGAAGAGACCTCATGGGCCATCCAGTCCAACCCCCTGCCAAGAACCAGGAATATTGCATTCAAAGCACCCCTGACAGATGGCCATCCAGCCTCTGTTTAAAAGCTTCCAAAGAAGGAGCCTCCACCACACTCCGGGGCAGAGAGTTCCATTGCTGAACAGCTCTCACAGTCAGGAAGGTCTTCCTAATGTACAAATGGAATCTCCTTTCTTGTAGTTTGAAGCCATTGTTCCGCGTCCTAGTCTCCAGGGAAGCAGAAAACAAGCTTGCTCCCTCCTCCCTATGACTTCCCCTCACATATTTATACATGGCTATCATGTCTCCTCTCAGCATTCCCTTCTGCAGATTAAACATGCCCAACTCTTTAAGCCGCTCTTCATAGGGCTTGTTCTCCAGACCCTTGAACATGTTAGTCGCCCTCCTCTGGACTGCCGTGTTGCGGTAGCTCTACAGGCTGTTGGTCTGCTTCCAGGTTAAATACAAAGTGTTGGTCATTACCTATCATTCCTAAATGGTTTGGGTTCAGCCTATCTGTCAAGGTATACTTGTTTTTAATATGACGACTGACCACCGTAGTTTTAAATATAGTTGTTATTTTGAATATGTTATTGTAATTATGAACTATATTTTACTGATTGTATGTTTTTATGGTTGTAAACTGGGCTGAGTCCCTCTAAGAGGTGAGAAACTCGGTATAGAAAACTTTGAAATAAATAATAAATAAATAAATATCCCTATATAGACCACCTCGAGCACTGTGGTCAGTGGAGGAGGCCCTGCTCTCAGTCCCACCCTGTCTCAAGTGCAGCTGGTGGGAACAAGAGGGGCAGCCTTCTCCATGATCACTCCCCACCTCTGGAACTCCCTGTCCAAAGATTTAAAAAAGTGCTTCTAACCGCCTCTCCTTTAAAACACTTTTTTTGAAATTATTTTATTATTTGACACAAACCATCTAATATACAATCAGAAAATATACATTCCAAAATAATGAAACAAGTCTAGATCTATATTAAAATGGCAACTTGTGCAAAGTAAGTATAACATACTTTACCATTCACTAGAATTCAAGACATTTTCAAAGCGAAATCCATGCAAATTATTATTAACTAGAATTATTAGTTACGATGTTTTAGAAAAAAAACTGTTTCAATCTGGATAATAGCAGTAGGACCACCATCTACACCCCCCCCCCCAAATATCCTATGCAAAAATCGTAATGTAATTTTTTAAAGAAACTCCTTACAAGGCAGGGACTATATCTTCACAATTAAGAGAACTTCCAAATATGTCTACACACATCATGATTTCACATTAATAACCCCATAAGAATAAGAACAGGCATTAAAGATTTTCTTGTGATTTGAGCTTTTTGACTGTTTTATGTACACACGTATGGATAACTTTTAAAAAAAACCAATTTGCATAAATTGAAAGATGTTTAAAATCATAATCAAATGTTTCATTAACATTATTCCATCATATTTAACCTTTTCAGGAATCACTTGTTTCTAATTTTGTAATTCCAGCTTGTCCAAATATTATTACATATTTCTTCCTTTTAGAAAACTTTTGAAAACGCACTTATGTGTTTTAGTGTTTGGAGAGGAGGAAGACTAGCACATCTTAAATCAATCCCATTTATTCGAATCTTATAGGCTGCTACAGTACATTTTAGATTTTTTGATATGTTTTTGGCATTATCTTATGCATTTTAGTTGCTTTAACTCTCTGGAAAACTGTGTTTTTAGTGTAACTATGTTTATTTAAATATTAGTATTTGTCATTATTTTATATTATTTCTATTTTTAGTAGTCATAAGTCTATTGATGTTGTTTGTATTTGCTTTGATTTGTTTGTCTTTGTTGACTACAACATTGAATGTATGCCTTTTTTGTATGTAAACCGCTCGGGGAGAGAGGGAGGTCTATAAATAAAGTATTTATTATTTATTTATTATTATTACATGTTTGAGGAGAGGAGAATACAGTATTTTACGGTGATTATGGTATTAAGAGCTGTTTGACAGTAGGTGGGATGTCTCAGAGAGTTGTTGATCCTCTTTCCTTGGAGAAGTTGCAGATCTTCTACCAGGAATGCTTTTACTGTGTGTTGCTGCAAGGTGCACAAATTTTGACATCCCTCCATCTATATGATTTATATGATTCGAAGATGATCATCATTTTCACCATTATCATCCTCCCACCTGTTCCCTAGAACCACTCATGATGGCCTTTTCTTCATTTTTCTAATGCATGTAGAAGTCTCAATAATTAAAATTAAATTGAGTCATAGAACGGGTTACCCTGGGAACTCACCTTCCTCCATTTAAAACCTTTTTTATTTAGACAGGCTTTTAAAGAAAGAAGTTTGTAAAATCAAGTCAGGGGCTCCTGTGATTTTAGCTATATGGATAGTTTTAATTGGTTTTAACTGTTTATTTTAATACTGTTTATGTTTAATTCTATTTTAATATTTGTATATTTTTATGGTGAACCACTTTGCATCTCTCATTTGGAGAGACGCAAAGTGGTTCACCATAAAAATATACAAATATTAAAATACACTTTATGGTGGTTTTATGGTGAACCACTTTGCGTCTCTCATTTGGAGAGATAAAGCAGGATACAAATAAAAATAATAATAAATTAAGGTACAAAGTTATGTATGACTTTCAGTGGTGTTTGATGGCATGTGGAACCTACTTAGAAGCCCCCTGGTTCTGATATAAATCCCAAATTCTTCTTCCAAGAGTAAATAATCAGATGTTTATTCCTGCAAGGAATAGATGTCATGAATTTCCCTCTTATCAAAATTCTACTTCTTCTTAACATGGTGGCCCAATTTAGACTTCAATGGACCTTTGATAAATCCATCTGATCACTTATCAAATATGTTACCCAAATCTATGGATCTAACAGCCCTACACATGCACAAAATGTATTTTTATAGCAATGTAAAATGGTTCTGGCCCAGACTACCTGTCCGAATGTATCTCCTGCCATGAACCATCACGAAGTTTAAGGGGCCCTGCTCTCGATCCCACTACTATTGCAAACATGGTTGATGGGGACGAGAGACAGGGCCTTCTCAGCAGTGGCCCCCCACCTATGGAACACCCTCCCTATCAGATTGGCCATCTCCCTCTTGTCTTTTAGAAGGAAAATCAATGACCTGGTTATGGGGAAAAGCGTTTGATTAGTGAGCAGCAAGTGGAAGAAGATCACACAACTTATGGCAATGAATTGACCCGGACTGGTTTTTGGATTTTGATTTTAATGGATGTGTCTTAATTAATTGTTTTAATTGTTGTTTTAATTTTTAATATTTTGATTGTACTGTGGTTGTTTTTATGATGCTAACATTGTATGATGCTTTTGTTAGGTCGCCCTGAGTCCCCTTTCGGGAGGAGAAGGGTGGGGTATAAATATAGGAAATAAATTTAAAAATAAATAAATAAAAGCTGGTTTATTGCCTAACATACATCAGTTTAAAATATTTCTGAACTGCCTTTCCCCTTAGTGAATGCTTGAGCTGGTTTACACTGAAACCATAAAAACAATAAGGTATGAGCACTAAATAATAATAATAATAATAATAATAATAATAATAATAATAATTTTATTTGTATAACCCGCCTCTATGTCCCTGAAGGGACTCAGGGCAGCTTACATGGCGACCAAGCCCAGAATGAACAGAGCCTTCAAAGTACAAAATTAAAATATGTAAACAGAAAGAGAGAGACCAAAACAACACAGATAAAATCCATACATTAAAATTGAGGGGTAACATTAATCAGAGTTTGGAAATGTTGCTAGCCATGCTGTCTAAAGGAATGTAGAAGCTGTAATCTGAAACAAAAGTAACTTATCTAAGGTCTTATACTGATCACTAAAAATAGTGGACCAGTACAGTATAGTACAAGGTCTCCTATAACAAGGAAGTCAGTCTAAACTTCTTGGGGGGGGGGGGGGYGGGGTATCATGAAGATATTGTGATATAGAGGGCCCTTTCTCAGAACATACCTTTTTTATCTCTCTGTAAGAAGTGATATATGTAATACGATAATATGTAATAAGGTAATGCAGGCCTTGCCTCCCAATAGCTTTTTATTGTGAAATCTACAAAGTATCTGTCGAGTGTTGTCGAAGGCTTTCATGGCCGGAATCACTCAGTTCTTGTGGGTTTTTTCGGGCTATATGGCCATGTTCTAGAGGCATTTCTCCTGACGTTTCGCCTGCATCTATGGCAAGCATCCTCAGAGGTGAGGTCACCTCTGAGGATGCTTGCCATAGATGCAGGCGAAACGTCAGGAGAAATGCCTCTAGAACATGGCCATATAGCCCGAAAAAACCCACAAGAACTATCTGTCGAGTCATAGGCATGCCCTATGTTAGAGAGGCACAGGGGTTTGCAAATAAGGAAGGTGCTGTTTAGAAGATGTTCAGCAGAAAACCTTTAACTAGAAAGAATTGCATCATTTGTCCACCAAAGCCCAGAGAATTAGCACTTACTTTAGCAAGTTCATCCACCCCACTTGCTGTTCTCACCAGCCTCACTAGGTCTTCTTGCATCTTATCCACCCACCGCTTTATCCTACAGAAATGAAAGAAAGGAGGGGGAAAGGAGAAAAGAGATGTCCCATCAGATCAATGGCAAATAGATTTGATGATCAGAAGCACAAATACTGGCTGACAGGTTATCTTCCATGTGGAAGATTGATGCTGAAGTTCCTTTGATATTGCTGTGCATCTGCTCTAGTCCCACTTTCCCACCTCATTCTCCTGTGCTCTTTTGCTCTCATAAAACTCTTCTGTGTAATTCAGATAAAACTTGGTTAGAAAAAATTGCCTCAAATTACTCAGATCTTAGAAAAGAAATAAAAATAAACAAGGAATCTGAAATACTAAAGTTTGCCCTAATGCTTCCACAGAATTTTGAGAAATATACAATGGATCTTTGGTATTCGCTGGGGCTTACTTCCAGAGTCCCTGCATAGATACCTAAATACATAGATGCTCAAGCCCCATTATATACAATGATATAGTAAAATGATATCCCTTATATAAAATGGTAAAATCAAGGTTTAGTTTTTGGATTATTTTTTTAAGGAGAGGAATATTTTCAAACCATGGATAGTCAAATCTGTAGTTATGTGGACAACCGATTGTAATCCAAGTGATTCATTCCCACAGGGGTACTGTGAAATATGCTTTGTATACATGCATAATGTTTTCTTTATGGGGAAACCCTCTGTGCTGTCATACCCATACACTATAAAGTTAAAACTAAGATGTGCTTCTCTCTTTATCCGGGTGAACTGCGGGTGCCTTACTTAGAAGCTTAGGATTCCCAGCAACTGAGGCCACTCCAGATTTGAACATCAAATAGAATATTTATTTCTCAAAGTCCTTGGCAGACTTGGCACAACTTGTTGAAGTTATAAACACAGTCAACTTGTGAAATCATGTAGATGTTCTTTCCTTCCTTTTTCCTTCAGCTGCTAAGTTAACTTCCCCCAATGGTAGAAAATAATCCTGGGATTCTTTACCCTAGCCCTGAGCTGCTATTATAAGAAAGAGCAGGTCTTTCCCTATCTAAGCTCAAAGCTAGCTTGGAGATAAAGTAATAGAGCCTCTCCCAATGGCAAAAAAAAAATCCTATTCTCTGCCCTAGTGCTGAGCTGCTATTTTTTTTAGAAAGAACAGGTCTTCTCCTATCTGAGCTCAGCACCAGTTTCAAAGGCAAGAGGGTAAATACTCACGATGCCTGTCCGAGCTGCCTAGCTTGACCACAAACACATCTGAGGCTTTTTCTAAACTGAAGAAGGCAGGAGAGCTTTTCCAAAATGGAGATCTCATCCCCAGGAAAAAGAGCGGTCTCTGGACCAAAGAGATACTTTTTTTAAGCCAATAACAGCAAAAGGCTTTGCAGGCTGACTTTAAGCCCCTGTTAATGGTTAACTTTCAGGATGCTGCTGAGACTGTAGCAACCCTGGGGGGAATGCAAAAGAATGCTATTTCATGCAACTAAGAGGCAATGCAAACCAAGCTCCTGGAAGACGGAACGCCCTCCTTTGTTGGCTTTTTTATTGTTTTTCCAACATTAATTTAGATGTATTCTTGAATTTAAAAAAATCTTTTTGTTTTACTAAGGAAAAATTCATGCAACACATTCACATTTCATACTTTTCGGGGGGGGGGGGTTTAGTTTCTAATCTATATAAATAAAAATGCTCTGCTTGTTTGTGGGATTAACATAACTCACAAATCACTGGACGATTTGACATCAAATTTGGACACTACACCTCACAAAGACCAATGAGTGACCATCATTCAAAAATCCCCCAAACAAACAGCAGAAAGGACTTCAAACCCCCCAAATCCACAGTGAGTACCCTGCAGATGCATGGCCCCTCCCCCTCCTACACGAAGGAAACAGTGGGCCGTTACAAAAAGGTGAGGCGAGCAGGCGTGAAATTTGGTCAGTAAACGCCTAATGACCAAGTTGTGACCAACAACCACAAAAATTAAAAGAAACCACCAAAAAGAACTCATTAATCCTAAAAAAAAAAAAAAACAGAGGACGACACAGAGCGTGCCCGCAGATGTGGGGGGTGCATGTGCACAAGAGAGTTCCTCCATTGTCTCTCTTGCTCTCTCTCCTCAGCTGTCAGGCTGGCAAAGTTCTCCTCACTCTTGCCGCTTGCTTTCCCCACCCCCATTTTCTTTTCTTCATCCCCGAAAGAAGCAGCAGCCGGCAGGGAAGGGAGGGAGGAAGGAGGGAGGGGGCGGGAGGGAGGGAGGTAGAGGAGATTGGGCAAAGGAGGGAGGGAGCCCCCACTCGAGGGGGGGAGGAGGCTGCTGCTCCAGCGGTGCGTGAGGGAGTCGGTTCAGGGTGACATGGGCTCAGCGCGGGGTGTAGTGGGCCACCTCTACAATCATCCCCATTGAGTCACATGGCAAACTCCCCACGCTGCCACCATGAGTGCTCTCCCTCCCTTTGGCCATAAAGGTGTGTGTGTGTGTGTCTGATATAGATTATTATCTGGAACATGTTTTTGATGACGAGGCGACAGTGAATGGGTATTGTAGTAACTGTTTATTAATTGTGTAATGTGTTAGGTTGTTAACTGTTTCTATACTGTAGCACTGAATTTTTGCTGTTCGTATTTGTTGTGAACCGCTGTGAGTCGCCTTCAGGCTGAGAACAGCGGTATATAAGTAAGGTAAATAAATAAATAAATAATAAATATTATTAAGCTGAGGCTGGCCATCTGACCAGAGTGCTTTGGTTGAGCTTCTCCCTTATGGAAGAAGGGGCAGGACTGGATGGCCCTTGGAGGTCTCTTCCTACCCTATTATTCTATTATTACTATTATTACCCAGAATCTGAATGACCATCTGTCAGGAATGCTTTGGTTGTACTTCTCCCTTATGGCAGAAGGGGCTGGACTGGATAGCCCTTGGAGGTCTCTTCACTCCCTTCCCTTCCCATTGATTTCTGTTCTGGACTTGGTGTCACCAAAAGGGATCCCCAAGAAGATCCTTCTGACAGGAGGAGGATGATGACCCTGATGGGTCAAGCCTGCCCCTGAGCATCGACAGAGTGCCACAAGAGAGTGGTGCATGTCTCTTAGGCCTTTTAGAAAGGCAAAGCAAGATACACCCCTGTAGAATTACAGGCAGTCTTCCAGCTACGAAGAAGATTGGTTTTCTAGGTTTGCTCTTTGGTTGCTTTCACATGGAATATATGGCAGTGCAGACTCAGATAACCCAAGGCCCTTCCACACAGCCCTATAAGCCAGAATATCAAGGCACAATAACCCACAATAACTACTTTAAACTGGGTTATCAGAGGGCCCTTCCACACAGCCCTATATCCCAGAATATACCTGAGGGCCCACTTATCCCCCTACCAACCCCAGAGATTACTTCGGTCTGAAGACCAAAATTTGCTTGAAGTCCCCAACATCCGGACTTATCATCTGTCCTCTGCTAGGCAGAGAGCCTTCTCGATTGTGGCCCCTTATTTATGGAATGCCTTGCCAGTTGAAACCCGATCTATCTGAGACCTACTTGCTTTTCGGAAAGCCTGTAAAACCTTTCTCTTCCAACAAGCTTTTGATGGGTGAATAACTCGGGACTATGTCTGTTCCTGTTTTTATTGTATTTTAAAGTTAATTGTATTGTTTTAATCTACTGCTGTAAACCGCTCCGAGCCAAATTGGGAGTCAATAAATAAATAAATAAATAAATAAAAATATCAATGCAGAAAAACCCACATTATTTGAATGTGGACTCAGGGCCCTTCTACACAGCCCAATATCCCAGAATATCTGCTTTGAACTAGGTTTCCTGAGTCCACACTCAGATATTGTGGGATTTTCTGCCTTGATATTCTGGGATATAGGACTGTATGGAAGGAAGGAAAGAAATAGGTCGAGAAGGAAGAAAGGAGAGAAAGAAATGAGAAAAAGAGGGAGGGAAAGTTGGCCACAGCAATGCATGGTGGGTATAGCTAGTTTAAAATAAAACAAAAAAAATTAAAAACAAAGGCATATGCCTGTTCCAAATACATTAGATATATTGAATCAACAAAGCTTGCATAACTTTTGATGTATCAAATTACTACTATTTTAAACACATCTACTCTATTGGAGATAAACGAATGGATTTAGGCCAATAAGAAAATTGTCTGTTCTATCAGTTGCCTTAGACTGTTGATGGTTCTTCCAAAAATAGTAGAATAGGCAGCCTAACCTACCTTATCCTCATGCTCTTTAGAGACGCATTTGCATTATGAAATTAGAGCACTATTATTCCACTCTCACTGCCATGGTTCTGCAAAGTGTTCATCAGTGGAACTCAACCTGTGGGTCCCCAAGGGTTCTGACCTACAACCCCCAAAAATCCCAGCTAGTTTACCAGCTGTTAGGATTTCTGGGAGTTGAAGGCCAAAACATCTGGGGACCCAAAGGTTGAGAACCACTGGTCTAATGGTATTTCATAGGATGCAGCCAAGACAGTTAAAGGGACAATATAGTGTTACAATAGGGTTACAGCCTGTGTTGGATGGGGTCACACTCCCCCTGAAGACACAGGTTCGCAGTTTGGGTGTGATCTTGGATTCATCGTTGAGCCTGGAACCCCAGGTCTCAGTGGTGACCAGGGGAGTATTTGCACAGTTAAAACTTGTGCGCCAGCTGCGCCCGTACCTTGGGAAGTCTGACTTGGCCACGGTAGTCCATACTGTGGATACATCCTGTATAGACTACTGCAACGCTCTGTATGTGGGGTTTCCTTTGAAGACTGTCCGGAAGCTTCAAATGGTCCAACGCTCGGCAGCCAGGTTACTAACAGGAGCAGCACTCAGGGAGCATACAACTCCTCTGTTGCGCCAGGTCCACAGGCTGCCAGTTTGCTACCGGGCACAATTCAAAGTGCTGGCCTTAGCCTATAAAGCCCTAAACGGTTCTGGCCCAACTTACCTGTCCGAACGTATCTCCTCCTATGAACCAGCTAGGATGTTAAGATCGTTTGGGGAGGCCCTGCTCTCGGTCCCGCCTGCATCACAAGTATGGTTGGCGGGGACGA